ATTTCAAAACTATGCTCCACCTCGCTTAACACGTTGACGGACAGGCTGACGCGCATGCGCGTCAGAACTATGTTGTTCATTTTTAAAGTGCTTGCGTTCCTTCTTCTCGAGTTTTTTTTGCATTCATTTTATAGATGAATACATTAGCATAACTATAAACCACATGGCTGCCAGAGTGGTCAAATATCCCTTGATTTAGCAAAGATTTTCTGAACGCACAAAACTTTCATTTCAATTCTTTCCTAGTATTCCTTTCACTGTCGTAAACATTCATATGTACCATTGTAGAAACAGGTAACACAAGACTTTGTAAGTCTCAAAATATTTGTATTTGATGGAAGAACTTGCTTGGAAATGCTTTTAACTTTATTCGCAACGAAAGTGATGTTTTTGCTTCTTCGTGGTCATTATGCGTTCTTCTAAACGAAAATCTACTGCCATTTATACAGTTTAGCTATAGTTAACCTTTGTGCTTTCATCCTTGCCGAAATAATTGTGTGATATTCAATTTTTTGTACATTTTAAACAAGAAATAAGCGGAAGTAAGGTGCGGACGGCGCGCTCGCAAAACTGCTCGTGTCCCACGCGGTGCAAAATGCCAAAACACGCGATGTCGTCAACGTGTTAAATGCTATAGTGCGAAGCGGAAGCGACAGGTTGTCTTCGTGGGCATAGGGAGTAAAGCCTCAGGCCAGCCTTCCTTCATTAGTCACATTCCGTTTCTCAAAGATCCGATTACCGCCTTCCTTTGGAGCAACAATACCAGACCATATTGATGGGTAACAGCGCTCGATGATGATATCGTGGATGCCATACTGACAGAAAATGAAAAAAGGACTGAAGCCAAGCCACTGATGAAGACAATAACATGTATTCCTCTCTCTTTTTTCTTGAGATGAGACAAACGGTTTTATGAATTTGCCTGCTCCATGGCTCCACTAACCCACCAGTGAATCAGCCCTTCGAATTTTCCGCTATCTATGACGGGGTGTGTCTCTCCCATTAGTTCACATACCCGCCATCAGGTCCCTTTGTAGGGCCGTAGCGCCATTGTTGCGCACTTTCGAGCCACGAAAAACTGGGCGTATGTGATACTCGTGGGCTACTCTATCCCACCCACAGAATAGATTCTTCGACACGACCTCATCTGGGGTTGTTGCTTACGAATTAAGTGCGTGCCTGTTAGGCCGCCACCATCGAAATGGTGTTGGCTGTCACTTTTATTGAATTATTGGCTAGCAAATTGCGGAGCTTAAAGCATAAAAAGCTGGAAATCATGTCTCTTACGAAATAGCCAGGAAACCCCAACTAGGAGTGTGCAGTCCCAAAGCCTCTTAGCTTAAGTTGGTTGTTGAAATAGGTGGTGAGGGACAAACGTTTTCTGTGAAAAAAGCTATGATATGCTCGACTTGTTATGCGGCACAAAATGGAAGCTTCTAGGGGCCGAAGATGTGCTAAATATCGAAATGTTGACTGAAGAAACTTGTTAGTGATCATAGTTCTTTCTTCTGCCAACGAGGTTTCTGGGTGAAGACTTTATCAGTGACCTGACGTTTGGACGAGATCGTCTTCTACACAATTTGAAACGTGGTTTAAGGTTTGAGAGATGTACTGGACAGGTTTCAACCTTCCCAACAGAACGCTGGGGAGATCAACTGAGAGCCCAATTGAGGGAAAGAAAGCAATGGCGGAAGAAGATCATCATCATTTACAACAATGCCGAGGCTTACGAAAAGTGCATCAGAACTTGCTTGTGTAATGTTTTGATAGTTTTGGGGGTCCTTCGGTTTGTAATATCCTTTAAATGCCGCGCATGTTCAGCAATCTGGGAAATTTTAAATAATTAGGTAGTAGCAATTTAATTCTACACAAATCAAACGGAAATGTTTTGACGAGCAGAAGATTTTTGGATGAAAAAGCAGTTGAAGAGGAGAAATCACTGAGGCAAAAAGTAAAGCCATAGCCGTGAAACTGATCGCTCAAAAACCAAGTGGCAGCTGGCTGGCGATGGGTTTTGTCGACTTCCGCGAGCACTCGCAGTGTAAAGGGAAAAAGAGCGGATTTCCTCTTGTTCTCTGTTTGCTAAACCTCGACGGCAGTGACAAAACGTTCAAAATGAGATCACTGGTCATTATCATCACTGCACTTCTCGGTTGTAAATTGACTCACCCCTGCTCTAACCTCTATCAGACCTTATGCTTTGTTATATTTGTGGGCTTAGTAAAAAATAAAGACGCAGAAAAACTGCAACATTATTTGATTCTGGGTTACATTTTAATGAAACATCAACTTTTTTTTCTGAACGCTTGTGGCCTACTGGAGGAGCTGCCTAACTGGACTCAATCCCCAAAGAAGATTTGACGTACAGGGTGGCCATAAATTACGGTAACGAGAGCTGCCGCATGCATGTTTCAGTTGAACCGAGATCATTTTGATTACAATTCTAGAGCATTGGAAAGGCTCTAGGATGAAGCTGCATAGGCGAAGTACGTAATGTATGGCTACGCAAAGGCAAGAATCAGGATTACAAATGAATGGGGTTGATTCCACTCAAATGTGAAAGTAGGTGAGGTAAAGGTGGACCGCCAGTGGAGAAAAAGGAAAGAAAATCCTGAAATACACAGGAAATACGAGCATTTTGCTCCATGCTGTGGAGAAGTTCAAAAGACAGGCAGGGAGATGAGAGATAATGTGAGCGCGGAGAGTGGTAGAGAAGTCCGAGAAGAGAGAGCATAGCAGATCAACGTGCGACGCAGACAAGATATCGAACGGTGGGCGGACCATGTTAAGTTTGGTGGAGTCTGTTAGAAGTCCATGGCGCCTAGGGTCCTAGTGACGCGTTTCGATGTAGAAAGGTGGCGCTACCTTTGCACTTGCGTACCCAGCACTTCTAGCCATGGTAACGCGGGGGTCTTGAAGCCCGAACTTTGCCTTTAGTATGTGTAAGTGAGAGAGCCCAGGAGAGCAGAAAATAACACGTATTTTATTATCAGAATGATAAGATATGAAGCATTTCACTGATTTGAGAACCGTAAACGTACACCTGGGCGAAAGCCGTAGGTATGAACTACAATCAGTACGTACCCGAATACGCCATGCACTCAAATTAAAGTGAAGTATCACAAGGTCCAGACAGTATCGGCTTGGGCAGAGACTGCAGTGCCGATTAGCTCTGCAAGTAGACACTGCTGCTTGGCACTGGATTACATGATTAGAGGGTTTATAGCAAGATTGCTGAAAGGGGCTCAGATGGGATCCGAGTAAACAAACCCTCATTATTTGCGAGCAGCAGGCCATCTACATACATATTATGTATCTATTAATATTTTAAATTGTTTTTTTTTTCAATAATTTTCACAAACTGTTTTCAATCAACTTATTTGGAGCATCTTTAAATTGAAGTACAGTTGAAGGAATCGAAATTTTGCCAGGTATCACCTGTATCACCTGTCGTCCCGTTGATCGTCGATTTGCTCGAGCGGGCGCCAGCAACGTCTCCATTCGTCCCTGTCGCGTGCTAGAGTGGTCCAGTGGATCCTCCTTGCTCGAGGGACACGAAGTCCATCATTCCTTTCGTTCAGAGCTTTCGTGAAGAAGTCTGACCATCGGGCCGGCGGTCGTCCAGGTGTTCGTTTGACGTCCCGAGGGATCCAGTCGGTAACCGCTCTGGTCCAACGGTCATCGCAAAATCGCATGACGTGTCCGGCCCACCTTATCTTCGATTCCTTGGCGAAAACGGCAGCGTCCCTGATCTTCGATCGTTCTTAAATGCTCCCCATGCCGCTCGTTTCCTCCTGCTCAGCTCTGGAGCTAGATCGTTCATCATATTGATTTCCCGACCTAGGTACACGTAGCTGGAGCATTCGGTGATGTTCGTTCCGTTGAGCGTGAATGGGGCATCAGGAACCGTTTCTCATAAACATCGTCTTCGTTAGGTTCAGCTGTAGAAATCTTACTGTAGAGGAAAAGAAACTAAAGCTGTAGAACCTTGCTGTTGTTGCTGTCTTCTGTTCGGGGGGTCCGCAGATATTAACATGACACCAATTAACCTCTACAATCTCATATGAACTAGTGTTATTATGTACCTCCAAAGCTCTTTGGGCGGGGGGGGGAGATCGTCAGGGACCACGGGCCATGCTGCACACGAAAAAGAGTCGCGCATCACCCATACGACACTCAGCATCAAGCCAATGCGTTAGATGACCGCTTCACGGTAGTTTCATCTGAACAACCTCTCCAATGAAAGGGTGTCTGCGCCTGCAATCGCCTGTTTGAAAGTATGTTGCAGTGATGGTGTCTGCGTCTCTCGTCTCATCGACTCCTAATCTGTTCTTCAGCGTTAACCTCAGTTAAAAGACAAGATTCGGGATAAAATAGGTGTGGAAAAGCGTTCAGTTATGAAGCTATAGGTGGGAGGTGGTCTGTAAAAGAGAAGGAAAGCAAACGAAACCACCGATTACGCCCCGTACAGAGACCTCCCCTATTTCAGCCACATTCCACCTTGGGATAGAGAAGAGGCGAATTGGACGAGTTTCACGAACCTAACTCTACTTGCTCCAGTGTCAATAACATTGGATCGCGATGGGACCACTGCCTCAAATGCGCCCGCGCTTTTCAAGCAACCGACAGCGAAGGGTGGGGCTTGCGGACGAAGGTGTGAGTTGCGGTTGGACGAGCTCCTTGCGCCTTTGTCGCGTACTTTCAAGCCGCAAAAGGGGCCCGACATCAACACTTGTCCACCTGCCTACTACCCCCTGGATGGAACAGGCGAGCCGCCTGATCGCGTGCCTTTAAGCTGTGTCTAAGTTCTATAGAGTCTCATAAGAAGCATAGATTAACCTCTCGAAAACATGCTCTTATATTCTAGGTTTTTAGTGGTTACGCTCCTCACAAGCGTTTCTGAACTTTATCTTTCCGCAATGAATACATCAGTAAACAGAGATTAAGCTCCAAGTTAGGTGTCAGGCTTTGCGGCAGTCGCGCAACGCCGCCGCCGCCGCACGCGCTGCGACGCAGGCAGTACGATCACTAGTGGCGAGTACATCGCCGGCGCCGTGTACAATTATTTGCTTTTCCGGTCCAAACAGATAATACCTGAGTTTTGGTCTGTGCGGCTTTTGCTATTCCCCGACATTCGCAAAGTATGACTCCTGCCTAATATGCCATGCGTTGTTTCTGCCTTCGTTTGTTCTTGAAGCTTTGAAAGTTCCTCAAAAATTGTCACAAATACAATCAGAAGGATAATTTATATATTTATTATAACAATATATGCATGTACAACATTATAAAGAATTGCGTAATACACCGCACAAATCACGATCGGTTACTCAATTGAGATCGAATAAGCGAACAATTTGAAGGCATGTTTCGATGAAGACAGGCAGGGCAGAAAAGTGAAAGAAAGCTGTTGGCAGTGGTTCAGAACGAGGCCGATACAAAATAAAAACAATCAATAAGAATCAAAACAAACTAGCTAAAAAGGTCAAAACAAAAAGAAAAACTACACGCTATAAGGCCGATGTCAATGGGGTCCAACGGCTATAAACTGGGATAATCACGGACCGTATAGAATATTTTTTGGAGTAAAACACGCTCAAACACTTCAGAAGTAAGACATATCTACGTTATAAAAAGAATTAATTTCCACCAGAAATTCGAACGGACTGGGATTTTGATCGATCTATCGCTCGCTCTGACTAGTTTCCCCACTGGCCGATGTCAGACTGCGATTGGAGCGATTTTGCACCAATTGCAGGGAGTGACAGATCGCTTGAGCGATGCGACGCGACGGAGAGATTCCCCCGCGATACATAAACCCCGGCGCCGTCGAGTAAATTCCCGTCCGTCGCATTCGGGAGCGGATCCAGTCGCTCTGCAAACTGGTGCAACGTCTATCGCAAAGTTGGACATGGCACTAGGATCTCCAAAAGCGCCACGAACTCAAAAACGCTCACACTGCGGTGGACTCCCTCCATTTTGTACAGCTGAATCCGGGCCAGGTTCGGGGCGGACACTCAGCTATCTTATCCGTACTAGAGGAGCAGTTCTTTGGGCTATCGAACACTACGGATAAGATAATAAGTGAACGACTCATTTCGAGCGTACTTTTGATAAGGACCGGTGGATGTCCTACATTTCACACTACTTGCCCACATCCCATCCACTTTTCTGCACAGGTGATCCACTGGGAGCTGCACTCTTAGCCCTTTGCGGAGGTGTCCTTTCTCCTGGTCCAGGACCGTTCCCTTGGGTCATGGCAGGCGGAAATGTGAAAACGTTTCAGGGTTTCTCACCCATTACACCAATATTTATCAGAAGTCTACTTTAAATGAGTCGATTACGTGTCGTGAGCCCTCTAATCCTTATCTTGAGTATTGGAGAAAAAATGGAGTGGCCCCCCCGAACTGGAGTTTCACCCTTATCCATTTGAGGGGTAGGGTGCAGGAGGAAGTTCCGAGCTCATGTGTGTGAAACCTCTCTTCGAAGACGTGTTCATTGGGTCACGGTTTTAGGCGCGGAGAGGTGCGGGTGAGGAGATGGACTCGGGCATAGCGACAGGATGTTGATTATGTAAAAGGCAGTGAACACGTATGGATAGGAGGCGAGTAGTTCTGACGAGATCGTCACTGTGACTTAATAACTGGGCGGCAAAGGCTCAGCGCTTCTGGATTGTTATGTAGGACTTCTTAAACCAATGACGTCCTCCGCTCCAGTTATCGTGTTCACGTGAAGGAAAGGGGGGCGGGGAGTGATTTTATTGGGAGAATTCTAATAACCGCACGTGATGGCTGACCAGCTTGAAGGTCAAGGGAGCTTACTAAGTAACATTGTATGCGCTTCAGCCTCAACGTACCAGTGCGTCAGCGAGTTTGATTCCTTGCTAGTGATCTGCAATTACAGTACCTTTTTCATTCAGAAACTTTGGTCTCCGAGAATTACCAGATACGCTCTTGAGAAAGCGTCGAAATAAGGCTTCTAATTTATATACACAGGGTGATCAATTTTTTTCAACAAAGGTGTGTTATTTCAGCAGATGAAAGAAATCGGGAGTCAAAAAAGTAGAATCATGTAGAAGAAAAGACTTTAAAAACAGAGGGTTTGATGGCGTTGGTCGAATCGCTATACTTTCAAAAAATGCACGCATGTGCCACGAACCGCCCAACAAAACTGCAGCCAATCGCTCTTACGCCACGTTTCCACACTGACTTCCTCGTCGCCGATCTTCTGTGCCACTCGAATTTCTGCTCCAGTATCACCGAACACCACCATCCGACCCTAGAAAGGCACAAATGAAATATCGCAGGCCGATAAGGAGCTATTTGTCACTGTTAACACATTGACGACACGCGAGTTTTGGCTTTTTTGGCCACGTGGGACCGCGGCGATTTTGCAGGCGCGCTCGCTTCAGGTCGTTCAAGCAGATTTTGAGTGATAAACCCACAACTAATGATCAATTCGGAACCAAATCAATAAATTGTAATGTGCGCAACCTAACCAGGGGTACAGTAGTGGAATTTCCATCGAATGACATGAAATGACAATGAAAAAGCGAAATTGGTCAGAACTAGCTGCAATGGACCTCAAAGCAATTTTACGTTGATTATTCAATCAAAACACACATATTGTCATCCCTAAGGTTCCTTATCTACTTCTACTACTATTTAAATCTTCACATTAATAAAAAGAAAAGTAAACGAAAAATTTATTGAAATGAAGATTTCGTATGGTTCAGAAATCCTCCTCTAAATTAAAGTATACGTGACCATTCCAAGGGCCACTATGTTTGTAGCTAAGTCAAGGTCTCTTCCATAGAATGAATGACAAGAAACTTCTAAAAGAATCAGGCGTGCGCGAAAAAAATGAGTGTAATGGGTGCGGGGGATATATATCCCGCACGGTCCGACATGGCCTGCAATGCGCGGGATATATATCCCCCGCGTTGTCGTCAATGTGTTAAAGTCCGAGCCCCGATTTAGGCTGCGCTTTGCTGTCCATCCCGGGGGTAGTAGGCAGGCGACAAGTGTTGTCGCACCCCTTTTGCCGCTTGAAAGTGCGCGACAAAGGCACAAGCAGCTCGTCCGACCTGCAACTCACACCTTCGTCCGCAAGCCCCACCCTCCGCTGTCCGTTGCCACGTGGCGCTGCTTGAAAAGCGCGGGCGCATTTGAGGCAGCGGTCCCACCGCGATCCTGTGTCAATGGCACTGGAGCAACTAGAGTCAGGCTCGCGAAACTCGTCCAACGCGCCTTTTCTCTATCCCAAGGTGGAATGTTGCTGAAATAGGGGAGGTTTCTGTACGGGGCGTAATCTGTGATTTCGTTTGCTTTCCTTCTCTTTTATAGACCACATCCCACCTCTAGTATCATAGCTGAACGCTTTTAGACACCTATTTTATCCCGAATCTTGCCTTGGAAGGAACCGGCAGAGCGGTAACTCATGCTGAAAAAGGTCATCACGCGGCGAGCATACACCTGCAGCGGGCCGCGCGCGACAACACTTTCTGGCGACCTCTTCTCCTGTGCGCCTAGATCAGGTGCGGCTATCTCTTTCTGTCCACGTTTCCGCTGGTTCCCACGCCAGAAAGCAAGGTCGAGGAAAATTGGAAAAACATTTCAACAACATCGAAAATCAACCTTCTCTTTATCGCGTTGATGAATTCTGGGAAAGGGAGGCCGTGGCTGGACAAGTGCTGGAACATAGCCGCATCAACTGGTACATCGTAATCTACCTCGCCTGTTGAGAGGTAAGCAGGAAACCCTGCCAATTTGCTTGCTTTACAAGGTCCTAGCGCCTTTACCGCGCCCTTTAGAGCCACGAAAACTGCTTGTTTTTTCGCTTAAGGAGCTTTCTATGACTCGTGAGATGAGTTCCCTGGATCCCATATTGAGTACAGATATTCGAATAAGTAGTCTTCAATAACGCTCGCTGAGTAGATGAATTATGAAAGAGAACTAACATTTCTCCTGTTGGATTCGAAACAGTATTCACCGCACCGCCTTGAGTTGAAGGTGAACGTCAAGTCGGAGTCAGTGGCGATCTGGAAAATTACTTCCTCTATGTAGCTAGTAATTTTTGAGCAGTGCAAAAGGTAAGAAAATCGGTTAAGAATTGTGACATGATTGCAAAAGAAGAAACGACACTGTCCACTTGTTCGGAAGAACAAAATCAGGGATATCTCCTTCGGCTGGATTGCCCAAGTCATTGTTCAGCCAATTAGCATGTCAAGGCAGCGGTGCACTGCCTTAGAGAAGTCTATGTACCAGTGAAAGTAGTAGCGAAATGGCAAAGGGAGCGATGCGTAGGTTTTTAAGCGGTGATACGTGCGCTAGTTGCCAGTTAGGCTTAGGAACCAAAACCGGCCCGCCTCTTTTGTAGTCGCCCCGCCCAAAACGTGATTATCGAAATTTGGACGTGATTATCATTAGCATTCGATTTTCACTTTGAAAAACCTTCTCTTCATCAAACGGCTGGATTATTAGTCTGTCGTCTCATAGATTCCATTGGGTCACACCCAAAAAGCCATCACCCATGTCGTGAACCCTGGTTTATTCAGGCTTTTCCTCCAATTGGCACCTCTGCCTTCATACATGATCATTAAAATATCGCGATCCTACCATTGATAATGGCCCATTAAAGGCCCTCTAGGTTCGCTCTAACCAGAGGCAGGTCCCAATGTACAGCGGCTGCATTTGTCACACTCACGCTGCGAGAACTACTGCACTTACTCTTCTATTTTATGGCCTTCATTAATAAGCCCCCGTGATCGCTCTTTTTTCAATTTTGAGAGCCAAAGGGATCATTAGTCCATATTACCCTTAAGTACTAAATCCTTAAAAGCAGTGATTGTGATGGCTGAGGTAGTGCGGTTTTGCTGCTGAACATCACTGGTGGAAGGGTGCCAGGAGGCGGTCCCAATCACACCACAGGCGCTGAGGGTCCAGTTCACCAGTAATGTTCAATGCCATCAAATCCGCACCGCCTTTCTGCCATCGTGGCAACTGTACCAACAGTATTTTTTCGTATACAAGGTTGGCATTGGGCTGCTTTGCAAAAATGACTAAAATTCAGCTAAAAATTAAAAGGCACCTGAAGAAGTGCAGCTATACTGGCACCGTCGCTCAATTGGAAGTCGCTACTCGAATTGGAGATGAGTCCGCTGGCAGACGATGACGAGCCGTCCTCCTCTTTCTGGTGCTAAACCTGGCAATAATTACTACGAATACGATATTTCTTCGAAGAAACCTCGAAACATCGCTTACAAGGCCCTCGTTGAGTTTGGACAAGAAGAGAGATTCCGAGAATGAGAGACCCTCATTCTCTTGTGAACAGAACGTATCCTGGAACTGCTGAGAGATAAGAACAGGCTATCCAAATCAATACAAACATGATTCTAAGAGACTTCTACCTCTGCCGGTGAGGCCGACATGCTCGTAGCTTGCTGGATCAGCGAGGTAAGAAAGTCATCCTGGGACGAAACTAAATTTCGTCTCATTAACTAACCGCAAAGCAGATGATATTTAGGTTGATTTGAAGGACTCTAGCACGAAAAACTGCACTGAGATACAAAAGGATAAAGAATGGAGCAGTGCTTGACTCTTTTTCTCGGAGATGCACAGTCGCATTGTAACCTGCTTAAGAATCGAAGGGCGATTGAATGCGATTATGTCTATAGAATGAGTTGGCGGGACGGCCATGTTCAAATCAGCGTCCCTCCCAAACGAATTTGCTACCAATGTCACGACCTCGGAGGGCTTGCAGACCTGCACGGCGTGCGATCTGTAACTTGATCCGCGATCCGTGCACTTGGTAAGCACTTCCCACTACACCATTCGCTCACGCCCAGTGAATGAGATCGTTTTCTTATATACTTCACTACTAACTGATTCGTGCGTGCTATACGCTCCCTCTTTATCGTTAATCGCTTTCTTTTAAATTGATGGATATCAAGTTGATAAATGCGGTTAAATACCGGATAATTGGTGGCAAAAACACTATGACACAGCGCGAATCGGAAACTTAAAGGAGAATTTCACGGCAAGGATGAAGGTTGAAGAAGGGGAAAGGTAACTAGGGGAGAGGCAGGCGGACGTCTTAAGGTTGCGCACCGAATTCGGAAATCGGATTTGCATCGAGGAATATGCTGCCGGCGATCCTCTCCACGACGCTATTGGCGCGCTATCGGCGCGGTAAGCCCCTCTCGCTGGTCTAAATCTCTGGCCGTTTGGCAGAGAGAGAGTTGCATTAGCGTTAAAGAGGACAACGCCGATGAGAGTTCGTATCGACGCGAAGTCAACGTGGCATGTCCCATCCCCGCGTTCGAAGCCGTTTTTTTGGGTCTTTGCCCTTCTTTTGTGCGTCATTGACCATCTCTAACTACTTTCAATGGGCTGCCTTTCATGGGCGTACAATCCGCCTTTAAGGTCCGATTCTATACCATGCACTTGCCTTGTTCTTGCACATTGCAGCTTTTCCATCGTCTGTTTGTAATGTCGGATATGTAGGTTCGATTGTTTGATGGCAATTCAGCATTCTACATGCAAGATCCGGCATGAACCAATTTGGTTTTAGGCATTCTACATAACCTTGCTATATAAGGAAAAGGTGTTGATCCTGAAAAGGTTCTTGTCACGCGTTACATTAGCCACTTTCCACGGTTTCTCAAATCGCTGTAATCGCTAAAATCGCGTAGGAATCTGAAATCTGCTACACAGGCAAAATGAAAAATTAAAACAGGTGTATTTGTGGGACCATGTGACCCAATGTCGCGTCACGTTCACATGACCAGAAAGAATGCGCGACCCCGCTAGAGAGGAAAAACAAGCGCGTTGTCAACGTGATAAAGGGAAAACACCGCCGAAATCATAAAATAATTATTGTAATCGTGAAACCCACTTCCAAGTTTGACGTCGCCTGACCCAAAGGGGTTGAAGCTCTGCATTTGATGTCGCTGGTTCGTCAGGGCCTTCAGTAGTGCGTCTTCTGACTTCAAGAAATATTTTAGCATTAATAATCAATCTTCAGCTGTTGTGAAAAGCACGGTAACCTTTTTCGATCGAGGTGCATAGTTTGCAGGCGCTTGTGAATTGATCTTCTCCTCACAGATTGCCCACAGACCACCTGGTCCTGCAAAGGGAAAGATGATAGACGAGAGTTCAAAAAAATATGAGAACGGTAAGAACGGTACAAGGCTGCAATACCAGTGTCATGTTTTCTCTTCAGATGAAATTTCATCGTCGTAGGACTCCGGTCGTTTGTGACCCAATGACAGAATCGACATCGTACACCGGCAAGGCCGTGACCACGCAAATCCGTGAAGAACTCCCATACCTGCAAGTAGGTTAGTACACAGCAAGGCAAAGAATGCGATTCCCAAACAACTTTTTCCAAAGTTCACTTTTTTGATAAGAATTTATTGAGTCGGACTTTCCTTGTAAAAGTAGCAGTCACGATGGGTAATCGAGGGGTCGCTGAGGATTGTTCGGCTCATTCCGATGATTCTTGACCACCAACAACCACACTCTCACAACAGGTGCTCCCAGACCGCCTGGCCCCCAAGAAGTATTATGAAAAACACTTTTAATTTCAAGCTTTACGTGGCTCCAAATGGCTTAGCTTGCCTGTTCAAGCATATTGGATTGTTAAGCTAAGAATCGTCTTTTGAAGGCTGTGATCACGGAAGGGGAAGGGGTGCATATTTGAAATTGAGCATGTCATCCATCATGGATTAAAATTGTTACAGTATTCCGCTACATAAAGCATAAAGAAACATGAGGGCTACTTGATATTGAGTTGGTATTTTGACATTTTCTTAAGAATATGAAATTTTTCAGTATCAATTATTAGATACTCAACGAATACCTAGTTGATCGGGGGGGGGGGAGTACTTAGAGCCCTAGAGCCCTTGAATTGTTATGATTACCGGGCTGTTCCCACCGCGCGTTTTTTAGCTCATGACAAATTTGTACCCTTGAAGCCTGAGAACATTGGGAGACAGTTTGAGAGGATTGGATGCTTGAAAAAGCAGTAGCACTTTTGGGAAACGGAATCATTATCAGTGAAGTATCCCATCAGCTGGGCACTTCAGTCAGCACGTCGACTACGGCGGACGTCCACGTTTTATCTATATAGAAACGCTAAAAGTCTAAAATCAACTCTATGTATTGGCATCTACATGGCCATCAAAACTTCTCCGGTAGGAAAAAGGTTAAAAGCGGTTTGCAATTCGTAGTAACACACCAGTAGCCGCAAAGCTGGACGGTTACTCTAAGCTATGGCTTGAATGGGGCGGAAGTGGTGTAGTGACAAGTGGCGCGCTCACCACGCGAGCGGTCCGGGGATCAAATCCTGGGTCGTGAGTCGCCCGGGCCAACCAAGCCTTCCATCCCTCCGGGGTCGGTTAATTGGTACCAGACTTGTCTGGGAGGATAAAAACACTGACTTGAACATCGGCTGGCCCCCGCAAGTCATTGTATAGGCCACATCGCATTCAAACTACGAATGTACAAATGGAAGTAGAATGCGTGCCGCATCCCAAAAAGGGAATTGAACGGCAAATGCTTTATCCTTTTATCCTTTATCCTACACTACCAGATTTAGAACAGTGCATGTGAATCCACAAAAGCCAGTCTGTCAAAACTCTTGTCAGATAAACAAAGTTAAAAGGTAGGTGCAGGATAAGAGATTACTTGGCGCTTACCAATTTGTTTTTGGAATGCGCCGCGCGTTGTATTTCCAGTAAAGTCATCAATGGCCTTGGAAATGTGCCACGGTCTACGGAACAACTTGAACTCGCACATTTGAACACTTCGATTTCACAGTCTCGCTGCGCTCTCTCCTTTCTAGCGCTTCATTTTCGCATCCCTTATTTATCCAAACTTTGCCACTATAAACTGGCTCAATCCACTACGAGTCGTCATGCCCTCATAGGCTTAGTCCTGGGACTCTACCTCTTGTTTGGTGGGAGCCGAGCAAGGCCTATTTCCCCAGTCTTGTGCTCTGGCCTTTTCGGCAGGAACATTAGGGGAGAGGTCAACGTGGCTAACGTAATCCGCCAACGCAGGGTCGCGGAGCAAAACGAATAAACGAAGAGTTTTCACGCTGAGATTTTGTCCATTGAGCGGACGGAGTAATGGAAGTATGTTAGATTGTCAGGAGGGGTTTGACGTTCGTTTGAACGCTCTGTGTGTGTACCTCATTATGATTTAGTCCATTTTCGGGACGGGAGAAAATCTGTACCAATTTGATCAATAGGAAAGATGTAAGCTTGTTTCCTGGCGCTGCATATAGATTGGTCAGCAGATGATGCCTGAGAGTGAAGCATGGAAAGATAGCGTTATGGTATCAATGAAATAGACGCGGTGACGAAATGATGTATAATGGACAACGAGGTGATTGAAATGAAGAGAGCCAGTGGCAAATGAGAAACCTACTACAATGCTGGACTTGAAGGGCCAAAACCTAATAATGAGTTCCAACGTTGGAATCAATTCGCCCGGTGTGTAGGATAGAGCTGCTCGCCTAAGTCGTACAGGTGTCCTTCTCTCGGCTCGAAAGTGCATAACCAGAGCGCCAGAGCCTAGCCAAGACCAATTGCGTTCTTCAGGTTCGCGACATGCCGGTCTCTGCGCCGTCTCATCTTCAAAGCTATTTTGCCTCAGTTCTCTCTTCTTCGCGTCCGTGTCTTAATGAGTGGAAACGACGAACCCTATATTCTGCGAGAACGCACATCAGCCAATAGACAACATAATCACAGAACCCTTAATTTCTGCGTCTTCGATGGATTCTTTGTCTATTTCCCCATTGCCTATCCGGACGGACCCACACTTTCACTTTCCTAGTGCAAGGATCACACCAGTTTCATTGAGGGAGGAGAGAGGGGAGTGCCTTCCAGAGGTAGGTTTCATTAGTATGCTCACGATATACTTCAACTCGAATCTGAATGGAGCCTCAATATCGGATCAACGATTGTCAATCCAACAAGTACAATCCATGGAAATGACTAGAGTTTCATGAAATCTTTTGGAATATTCCTAGGCGCTATCGCAATATAGGGGGGCATCCTCTAGGACTAAGCCTAATAGGAGGCAGTAATGTCAGGGAAAATAGAAATGGTTCACGCACCTTGTAGTCTCCCCCAGCTAGGGCTTAGTCCAATTTTTAACATAGAAATACATATTTTAAGCGGTTTTAAATGCATTGCCATCATAATGCCCCGTATATTGCGATAGCGCCAAATTCCTATTTAACACCTTACTACAGCCACTGAACCATTCATCGATCACACACGTGCATGCACTCTTGTGCACGTTTGCAAACAGTTTCCTTATTTCAGACGAATCCAGACCATTTCTCGTTCCAACCGTTTGCAGAGAATTTCTTTGGTCGCTCTATCACTATTAGCGAAAACAAAGTGAAACGTGACCGAAACAATGCCTTTTGAAAGCGTGAATTCCGCGTCATGACTGAATCGCTTTACAATTTCTTTCTTCTCGAATGTCCTTTTCGTAACAGCAATTTTCGGAAACTCCGTCCAAAGAATTTGACAAATTCAATTGTCGTACAATTCGCATCGATTGAGCACGATTTTCGCTACAGAAAAAAAGCTGCCCTCAAATTTTGCAACCCCCTCCCCTCCTCTGATGAGGTCTCGATGCGACCCTCCACAACCACAGTCAGCATTGGGGGATTCTCCCAATACGCCATCCCTCCTCCGCACCCCGATGATCGCTCTCACCATCACAAAGACCCGTCACATACAACCCCCCTTTTACGACCCCGTTCACACTTTCCCACGAAC